TGGCTGATCTTTGATGCGACGGACAGTTTATTGATCTCAACTTTTCACTCTTAGTTGATCTGCTGTTCCGCAAATTATGATCTGAAATGCGGGATCTTAGCCGAATGTAGACCTTCAGAGTGAATCAGAGCGGGATCTTAGGGGTGACTTTTGTATAGTAAAAATTTTGTTTTCTTAAAACAGCGGGATCTTAAGTGAACCGGGATCGTAAGCGGTGGGATCTTAGGCGGAGACTACTGTAGTACCATCTTAAATTCTGTTCATTTGCTTAGTGATTGATAGAAAAATACCCATCTGTCTTGAATAGAAGTTAAGATATTTGCAATTGAAGGATGTGGGGGTCGCCTGGTTTCAGAGGTCAAATTAGTTAGAAAATGGCTGCCAAAGTTTGGTGACTTCCGGTACTAGAGAGTCCTTGGAACTGAAAACTTACTTTTTTGTGCCTATATGTAACAATTACAAGTAAAATCCACACAGAGACAGAGATTTAAACAGACATAATGGGTTTCGAAGCAAAAAAACAACTTAATTTAATTAAAATTGCCAAACCATTCGTAAATTGCCTGTTTTTTTAAATTTCATTATTTCGATGAGCACCTGATTTCACCATGACGCCTCACATATATTCTCAATTGTGATGAAATCAGGCGCTTGTCAAAATCATGAAATTGGAGAAATCTGCATGTTTCGGCCAGTTTTTTTTCGAATTTTTGTGTTTTGGATCAACGCCTTGTATGTCTATTCAAAAACACTTTTATGTGTCGATTTTTTGGAAAAAAGTTGATTAAAGGCACAAAAAATATAAATTTGCAGTTTACAAGGACTCTTAAGCTATGAAAGTCACCAAACTTTTGCAGCCATTTTCTCGCTAATTTTACCTCTAAAACCTAGCGATCCCTCCTCCTTCAATTGCAAATATTTCGACTTCTAAACTAGATAAATGGATATTTTTTTCATTGAAAGCAAGGCAAAATGAACAACCTTTTAGATGATACCAATAACTCCATACGCCCGAAAATTGACGAGCGCCTGATTCCTCCACGTTGTGACACATAGATTTTAATGTGTATTTCAGCGGGTGGTTAGAGGACACCAATGGTTGGTCCTACAGTTGTTTAGGCAAAGATACGATTAACATTGTCCCAGTTCTGTTCCCATGATGATGTAGTTATTGGTTATTGTTTTGTGTTGTGTGTGTATGATGCCACTCATGTGTTTCCATGGCGATACAGTTGTTGTAATGTGCTGTTTGTGTATAATGCTACTTCTGTGTTTCCATGGCGATATAGTTGTTGTGGGAAACGTAGCTTTTTTGAAAGTATCTGAGCAAAGGAATGAATGGAAAACCATGATTGCCGATGTCTGTCGCAGATCTGGCACTGGATGATGATGATGATGATGATAGTTGTTGTAATGTGTTGTGTGTGTATGATGCTACTCATGTGTTTCCATGGCGATACAGTTGTTGTAATGTGTTGTGTGTGTATAATGCTACTCCTGTGTCACCATGATGATATTTTACTTGTCGCTATAGCCATGTCTTGTGTGTAGGTATCCAAGCAAAGATACAAGCCACTGCCCTCTGTCACAAACGGGCGCTAGAGCGTGCACTGCAGAACGCCTTCTCGAAGATTCTCCTGGTGGTCTCCCCTGACGGCAAAGTTTACCCAGAAGTGGACACCACAAAGTCAGACCCCATCAACTTCCTGTATGGTCCCGAAGAAACGAGAGTCGTTGCTGTGAGTGGTTTTCTGTCTGATACTGTCAAGCATGCACATAATGAACACGCACATAGCGTAAAAAGGGCATAGCGAACAGATTTTTAGGTGCTCAATATTTTTGGTATACATGTTTATTTTCTTTTTACAGTAGAACATCGTCAGTGCATTCCGCTTCCCACGTATGGAGCATTCAGATACTTTTGAGAAAATGTGAAGGAAAAAAACTTTTTTATTTATTTAATACACGTTTTGGCCTCTTGATTTTTACAATTTATATTTAAGTTGTCAATTTAATATTGAAGCAAAGTGAAATATCAAAGCTGATTTTAAAAAAATTGCATTTAGGTCAAATGCTTTAAGACTGGAGTAGTCAAATTTGGTTAGGTACGCACATTGCGAACAGCAATGACGGCATGACTATAGTGGTACCCACTGGCACAGGACTTTCACCAGAGTCCCCTTTTTTTTTGTCTCTATGTAAACTGAATTAACTGTGATCGGGTTTAACGGGGCAAGGAAAGGCCTGAACTTGGATACAGTAGGAGAGATCGAGCGAGCACTATCTGAGAGAAGAGGGTTGGGGGTTGAGGGTCTGTAGGTGCGGATTTGTGATTGGCCTGTCCAGTGATGAGTGAGGTGAGGCAGGCGGCAGAAAGATATGGTGCGGAGATACACATTACATGATCCACTCCAAAAGTGATGTGCCATAGGCTAGGCCAAAAAGACAGTAAAAGAAGAGGAGAGCTTGTAGTGTGTGATTTTTAGGTAATTCCCCTTTGCATTCATATAGTGGTAACTTGCCTACAGCAGGATTTTTTCTTTTGTTACTAAAAGTTCGCTAAAGGTGCATGCACAGGTAGCCTAAACCAAAATTTTGATTGTTGAGGTTTTGTGGCTCCATTGACACTATTTAGATTATATCTACAATCAAGCACTCTTCACCTTAATGAATTCGAAGAAGCAAATATTTTTCACCCATTGGGCAGTTTGTGTATATTTTGTTTTTTAGCTCAACACCCTTTATCTTCATTTAGAAACGCATTTCTGTGTGGATTTTCCTGAAAATTATTGATGGAGGGAACAAATATATATGTAAATTTGCAGTTTTCAAAGGCGATTTCATGCTATTTTTATCCTCAACACCAGGTGACCCCATCTGCTTTAATCATATTACCTTGATTTCTATTCTACTTGGAAATGTATTTTTTTTTCATCAAAAGCAAGACGAATGATCAAGTTTCAAGATGAAACCATTAATTTCATATGCCAAAAAACTGACCAACGCCTGATGTCACCACATCTTTCCACATTTAGAAAGCAAGCTAGTGTAATTTATTATTTAATTTGTAAATCTTTGACATCTCCATCACCACAATTTAGATGATATTGAACTTTGAGTGCGAAAAAAAAGTAATTTTACATCCCTCATCAGTATAATTTAGATCATTTAGGAGGCAGGTTGCTTCAGACTTTTTTATTGTCAGGGCAAACCTGTGCTGAGAAGGCTACAACATCTCAACAGAAATGCAGAAATACTTGATTTAAAAGAACGACAAAAAAAATCCACCTCTGTTTTTTTTGTTTTTTTGTAAGTGTTTTACGGTTCTCGCAACTGCATAAGGTCATATGAGCGCGCGGGACTCATTAAACATTTTCAGTTGGTAGGAAATTTTGAATTTTCTTCGAGTGGTGGTGGAAGCCTACTCTTATCGATTTTAGACCCCCAAGAGATCTTTAATTGTGCGCAACTTGCTCACGGGACCTCCGAGATTTTTCTGCCTTTTCCGAGAAGGCTAAGTGCAGATCTTTCCTACCAGAAGATCAGGGGTGTTGCTGAAAGACAGCAGTAAGAAGGAGTCAAGGAGAAGCAGTAGAAAAGCTGCAGAAAGAGTCAGGAGCCCAGAGGAAGGTGCACAGGAGGTGAGGGGGTGGGGGCAGAAAGTGGAAAGGAAAGCAGACGACAGAACATTTCTAGAGAGCTGGAAAGGAGGTGAAAGGAGACAATTTTAGAGAAGAAAATTTTTCGGTTGCTACCCGGATTCGAACTCGGGACCTTTGAATGAGAGGTGAACGAACACCTTAACCTCTAGGCCACGAGAGCCCCCTCCCCCACTCTACATTAAAATCAAACTTGCATCATCATACAATATATAGTAGAGCCCATTGAAACCGACATCTGCAAGATCGCTGGATTTTCTTTGGTTTGGCCAGGTTTTTGGTTTAGAGAGGTTGCTCAAATTGTAGAAAATACATCAGGAATTTTCTTTTTCTTTCGTTTTACGGCTGTTTTCGGATTAGCCGTGTTTAGTTTAACGGGACTCCACTGTATATAAATACAAACGTTTTAAAGCCCAGGTTATTTTGTCTTGCTCAAATACACTCACCAGTGATCACACACCGAATCGTCATGTCACCGACGCTTTTTTTCATTTTTTTGTGAGCTGTTGGCATTGACAAAACCATCGTCTATGGTGCTACTGTTAGGGGCTTTGCTGTAGTACGCGGAGGTGTTAGTTCTATTCTTGTGTGGCGAGAAATTTTATCACATATTTCATTCTTTCTGCTGAGATGTTGATCCCTCTCAGTCCGGGTTGGCCCCGGCAGACAGGGTCGAAGCTCGCTTCCTAAATGATCTAAATTTATTTGTTTGGGGAAGTAAAAACATCCATGTTTAAAAGAAATATGTGAGGCAGCGTGGTGAAATCAGGTGCTTGTCAAAATAATTAAACTGAAGAAACTGGCATTTTTCCGCAGGTTTGGGAATTTTTATCGAATTTTTGTTTTTTGGCTCAACACCTTTCATTTCTGTATGGATTTTACTGAAAAACGCTAATTAAAGGCATAATAGATGGAAATTTTCAGTTTCTACGGACTCTCAAGCTTTGGCAATAACGCAATGTAGGCGGCCATGTTCTCGCTAATTTGACTTCTGAAACCAGGCAATCCCCACCTTCTTCAATCGCCAATATCTTGACTTTTATCCAGTATAAATGGATACTTTTTCCTTCAAAAGCAAGGCAAATGGACAGGCTTTAAGATGATACCAATAACTCCATATGCCCCAAAATCGATGAGCGCCTGATTCCACTGCGTTGTGACACATAATATTATTTTTTGTCTCTGATCATTCTCTCTTCACTTGATCTGAATTAGGTCAATCAACTGGAGGAGGAACCGGAGGAGGAAAGTAGTGAGGGAGAGCAGGAGGAGGAGGAGGAGATGGATAACACAGCCGTCTCTGAGACAGACCAGATCAACATGGATATACTTCAACATCTAGATGATGGATCTTAGTTTGTAGTTCAGTTGCTGTCAGTCATTAGAGTTATAGTGTGGGTGGTTGGTGGATGCTCTGATGTGGTTTGTTCCTTCTTTCCAGTCAAACATCTATCGTCCTTATCTCCCCTCCTTATTTTTGGTGTTTGTTACTCCCTTGTTACTCCTCTAATCTTCAGCACTTAATGACCTGATTGTTTTGCAAGTGACCTGATTGTTTTGCAAGTGCCATAAAACTCTTACTAAAACTAAAAAGAGTGATAGTGGCTACTGTATGAGATGGCTTTGTGAGAATGCATTATATTTACACTTACAGTACTGTGTGAAATGGTTTGGGGAAAATGCAGCTATAATTTATAACCATAATGTTAACTGTGTGACAGTTGTGCTGTATGAGACTGAGACAGATTTGTGAATGTGGTGCTGTGGTTATAGTATAGTGTTCACTGTATAAAAAGGTTTTATGAAAATGTAGCTATGATTTTTAGTGTTTACTGAATCAAAAGAATTTATGAAAAATACTACTATAATATTAGAGCTTACTGTGTCAAAAGGTTTTCTGAAAAATGTTACTATAATAATAGAGCTTGCCGTATGAAAAGGTTTTGTGAAAAATGTTACTTACCACTATTATAGTGTTCACTGTATGAGAGGGCTTTATTGAAATAAGCAGTCTTAATTGTTAAAAAGTATGACCATGATTTGTGAAAAACAATTGATTAAGTGTTCTCTATGAATATGAGTCTGCCTTATATGTCTGTAAATAATATGTTGTACAGATTGGTAACTCAACTGGCATCTGTGGTGTAGCAGATACGCACTCCGCTGACACATGCAAAAGACCTGGGTTTGATTCCTGAATGGGGGGGAATTTTTATTGAGTGTCTAGGTCCTTCTGCTGGAATGTTTTTTTCCTTCTCAAACGAGGTTAGCCCTTATTGGCAGAGTTGAAGCCCACCTTCTAAATTATCTATACCATGTTTATGGGGGCATAAAGAACTTTGGATAAAATTGCATATTCTTAAAAAAGGGGAGGAAGGGGGATTTACGTTACTGTTACTTAATAACTTACCTCAATGGATATGTTGACTGACATTTGTGGTGAATAACCTTGACATTTGAATAAAGACCTTGAGAAAAGTAAAATTGAAGATTATGCTTGTTGGTTTTAGTGTATGGCAAAATATATAATATATATTTTTAAAATTTTTGTATATATATATCTATCTCTATATCTATCTATCTATCTATTTATATATATATATATATATATATATATATATATATATATATATATATATATATATATATATATATATATATATATATATACATACAGAGAGAGAGAGAGAGAGAGAGACAGAGAGAGAGACAGAGAGAGAGAGAGACAGAGAGAGAGAGAGACAGAGAGAGAGCCATCCAAAAGAAACTTAAAAATGTAATGGCTCAATCAACGTGTTAAAGCCTTGCAACACTCATCATGCAGCGTACCAATTTAGAAATAAATAAATTCTGCATCATCTGAGATAATATAATTATATTATAACATGTAATAATTTTTCTTCAATGTCCATTTAAAACTCATTTTTGTGTTGATTTTCCTGAAAAACATTAATTAAAGGCAAAAAAAATGTACATTTTCAGTTTCCAAGGACTCTCAGGCTACGAAAGTTACAAAATTTTGGCGGCCATTTTCTCGCTAATTTTACCATTGAAAACGGGCGACACTGACCTCCTTAAATCGCAAATATTTCGACTTCTATTCTTTTTCTTCTTCTTCTATTCCATGGTTGGGGCAACCGTTGGGGCACCACTGCATAGGAAAACCAGCTCTCGCCATCTATTTTTGTCCTCTGCTCTCCTCAGATTGTCACCCATCGTCTTTCCTGTCCACTCTGTAATGTTGTCCTCCCATCTCCTTCTCTGCCTTCCTCTCTTTCTCTTTCCTTGTACGGTTCCTTGCAGGATTGTTTTGGCAAGTCCTGTGGATCTTGTGACATGCCCTTACCATTTTAGTTTTCGTCTCTTCACTGTGGTCAGTAGATCTTCTATTCAACATAGCTAGATATATTATTCACCAAAAGGAAGACAAATAAACAGGTTTTAATGCGATACGAATAGGCCTAACCCCAAATGCCCAAACATTGACTATCAAGCGCCTTATTCCACCACGTTGTGACTCATATTATGAGGCTTTACGAATTAGAAATTGTGAAGCCAAGAGAGAAGCCCGCGGGCTGTTCACATTGACGTTTCTAAACTTTTTAAAATTCACTTGCTAGTCTGATTAGAACTAAGAACTATAAGAAGGGCAGACATGTGTAGTTTTAGTTACAACTTGCAGATGTTTCACATCCATCAATCAACATCATTATAATATTATAGCTTATATCCAATCTCTACAGTTATGTTAGGCGAATGGGTAGGCCTATAACTGTCTATAATAGAATTGATTAGTACAATGTAGTCATCATCATCATCAATGCCTTTCACCCCTGGCAGGGTATAGGCCACATACAAGCTCCTTCCATTTATCTCTGTCCTGAGCCATCCTTCCAATCTCGTTCCAAGTGAGCTTCATTTCTCTCATGTCCCTTTCCACGCATCTCCTCCATGTTTCCCGTGGCCTACCCCTGCCTCGTGCTCATTGTGGGTTCCACTGCAGTGACTGTCTTGTGATGTTTCCGCTGGGCTTTCTTAAGGTGTGTCCCATCCATCGCCACTTTCTTAGTCCTATATTTCTACTTTTATATCCTTTTGTCCTGTCCTTTCCCACAGTTCTTCATTTCTTATTCTGTCCTGCCACTTAATTCTTAGAATACTCCTCATACATCTGTTGATGAAAGTCTGGACTTTATTCAGTACTGTTTTCGTTGTCTTCCAAGTTTTGCAGCCGTAGAGGAGCACAGACTTGACGTACAATGTAGTATAATTAATTAATTTTTGCTAATGAACAATGCAGATTTCAGAAAAACAAAATCAAGGTCAACTACATGTATAATATATAAAATAAAAGTTGTAATTTTTCTTTCTTTCTTTCTCGGCGTTATCTGTCGACTACTGTATGATAAGTCCTCCGACAACATTTTCAGATCTACTGTTTTCTGAGCTTTTCTCCGTGGCCACGTTGTACTTGTCCGCTCTCTGACGTCACGTTGACATTTTTTTCCGCCCATTCATATTGATTTATGTGCTGATGCATTTCAAATTATTCGAATCCCTATCATTGACACGTGTTTATTTTGTATTGTGAGGCAGTGTGGTGAAATCAGGCACTTGTCAAAATAATGAGTCAAGAAACTGCCATTTTCCCGCACGTTTGGGAATTTTTATCGATTTTTTTTTCCCGGGGGGTTCAACACCTTACATGCCCATTAAAAAACACATTTCTGTCTGGATTTTGCTAAAAAAAACAACCCAACAAAACGTTGATTAAAGGCAGAAGAAATTAACATTTTCAGTTTCCACGGACTCTCTAGACTCAACTTTGGCAGTCATTTTCTGGCTAATTTTACTTTTGAAACCAGATGACCCTCACCTCCTTCAATCACACATATCTGGACTTCTATTCAACAAAGATGGATATTATTTTCACCTAAAACAACGAAAATAGACAGGCCTTAAGATGATACCATCAACTCCGTATGCCCATAATTGACGAGAGCCTAATTCCACCGCGTTGTGCAATATTTAATTACATTTTTGGACCTTATTGGGCCTTCAATGCCCATCCCACACCCCCACCCCCCCATAATAATATGATCTAGTTAGTCAAAAAAGTTGTTGACCCCTGCATTATAATGATAATGAGACAGTTTAACGTGTATAATGTATAAACAAGCACGTATGGGAACTCTGAACTCTGACTCAGAGAGAGAGAGAGACACACACACACAGAGAGAGAGACACAGAGAGAGAGAGAGAGGGGGAACCAGGGGTAGCGATAGAGAATGAGAAAGAAAGAGAGGGGGGTGGGTAGAAATAGCGACCGAGAACGAGAAAGAAAGAGAGAGGTGGTTGAGGAGGGGGGGTGTGGGTGATCGAAAAGGGAGATAGCTAGAGATAAATAGACAAAGAAATGAAGTGAGAAAGGGAAGGGGGGGGGGGCGGTGGGCGGAGAGAGAACTCTCATCAAGAGATAAGACTAAAAAGTACGTACGCACAATACTAGACTGTAAGTGTAATTTCAGTAGGAAGCTGCGTATGTTATGCACACACACACACACACACACACACACACACGCGCGCGCGCGCGCGCACGCGCACACACAAGCACGCGCACACACACTCACGCACACACACACTCGGCACATTCTATCTATAGGCCACATCTTCTTTCCCTTACCCTCTCATCTCTCCCCCCTCCTCCTTCCTTTACCCTCCCCAGTTCTCCCCTCCTCCCTCCCCCCCCCAACTAAAAGCCCCACCATTGCACGTAGTATATAAGCCTCCGATAGTCTGAAAATGCTGTTTCATTCAAAATCTTGTTTCATCGGAATTAATTTGTCATTCAGACAATTTGAGTATTTTAGGTACCGGTACGTTTGATTTATTTTCAAGTTTGAACAATTTGATTTTTTAAGGCAATTTTCAGTCCCAATTGTGGAACACATCATCATCATCATCATCATCATCATCATCCTCATCATCAACACCATCATCATCACTATCATCGTCATCACCACCACCATCAAGGTTAGTCTTCTCTCATAGTGGAAGTTTCTTACTTATTTCTATCTTTCTTTCTTTCTGTCTTATACCTTACCCTCTGGAACAGACGCAATAAATGTAAAGACAAGAAAAGACAAAGCGAGAGGTGCTTTCTCACTACTAAGATAAGAAATGTATGGAAATCAGGAACTATAAACAAGAAATAAAGCAAGGATTTTCAACACACGTGTCTGAAGTGTACGTGGCCTACTCTGTGGATCGGAGACTTCGAAACTAACAACACAACCTTCTTAAAAGCTATAGAGGCATTTCTGTCGTGCTTCGACAAAACGCGTTATTTTGTTCATTTTGACGCCAAAAATGTTTTACTACTCACATCGATAGTAAAGATTGATTCACATCATGTGGCAAACAAAATTAAAATGAAAACGTGCGTACCTTTTTGAATAAATTTAAATTTTTGATGTAAAAACGCATTTATTTCAAATGTACTCCGACAGAATTTTTTTTCGACTGCGCTCGTACAGAACACATTTTTCTTACAAATTCAGAACCAAGAATCTAAGACCTATTTTTTTCCCCTCGGGCCCCCCAAAAATGCTTATTTTTGCACTAGTTCTTGATCAGGCTTGTCGGCATTGCTCTGACAGAACACATTTTTTTGTATCCAAGAGTGCGATAATTTATACAATCTTTGACATTCTTTGAGTATCCATTACCAGATGGTTCTTTGTGATGAATGTTTGTCTCCGATTGGACTCAGATTCTGTAACTCGTCGAAAATCACCAGTTTAAGATAAGATGAGATAAGATACGGTAACATTCATTTTTATTGTCCAGATCCTGGCACATTGGTTTGGTGTTTCACCACATGCACACATACATGAAAACACAGACTCACACACACACACACACACACACACAAACACACACACACACACACACACACACACACACACACACACACAGCCCTCATGTCAGCAACTAGGGTCTAAATTCCTTGGCTTCGACACCCTGAGAAATAAACAACTATGGGAGCAAACAAATCAACAGAAAATAAAATAATCGGAATGAGAAAATTTTACGTGGATTGGACACACCTTGAGAAAATGGAAAACAAAGCCCTGATACTGACCCTCCTAACCAAGAGTTGAAAGTTGAAACCGACATGTGTAAGGAGAAAGAATGGAAGATCAATGATAAGGTCAACCAGAGAGTATTTAATTATATATAATATATATATATATATATATATATATATATATATATATATATATATATATATATATATATATATATATATATATATTTAAGAGTCTCTGGGTCAACAGAGGTGGAGACTATCGCCTAGGCCAGGATAAAAGTAGCCAAGATCTACATTGTTAAAGGATTCAGTTACACGACACCTGCGGGCAAAGTAGTCCAGTTAAAATAATGCTGTTTTATTTTACATGTGTATATAGGGCATTTGTGAACTAACGTTAGATCTAGAATCTAGATAACTTTGTCTGTACATACTTAGGCTAGTTCACAACTCGACGTTCTGTCAAGTCTCTACACTGGTGATCCGTCCTTGGTCTACGCAGATCCTCACTTGAAACCACCGACGTCTGTGAGTGTGGTAATTTTATTTATTATTTTTAAAATTCGAACTGTTTTCTCAAGGCCCGGACTTTTATTCCTTCAACCTTCACACAAACGCCACGGCCCAACATACACAAGGTGAGTCAGCAGTTGATCTAACACTGATCTAGATCTACAGATCTAGCCAAACCAGTGCGGTTTCATTTTAAAATTACCAGAATTTTGGTTCATGTCCCGTGATGTGTGGTTTGCGAGAATAGAGGCTCAGTTTGGAATGAAGAACACAGTACAAGACCAGACATATAATATGATAACGTCGTCAGTGCGTTTGACATGAAAAAGCTGAAGAGGTCAAAGACGTTCTAACTGACCCACTAAGTATAGAAAAATATAGCACAATACTTTTTAAATCGTTAATCAAAGCTTTCGGAAAAACACAGGCGCAAAAAGACAATGAACTTCAAAATCAAAATGGAACGGAGGACAGAAAACCTTCGGCTTTGCTACGAAAAGAAAAAAACAACTCATTAAATGACGATCCTCACACCCTAAAAATGCACTTTTCCTGTCAATTCTGCATTCTTCCTGCATTCTCTCAAGACTTACTTATAGCGACCTCATAAAACTCGCCCAGGCTGCCGATCGTATTTGTGAATCACACTCTCTTACCGTAGAAGAAGTGCAGCTGACACACGTCTCCGATCAACCTGCCACAACCACCATCTCATCTGCCACAGCAAAACCAAAGCTAGCCTCGCGCTCCCCCCCACCAAAAAAAAAATCACCCAGGAACAAGCCCAAATACATCGTTTTCCTCAGTGTGTTTTTAAATTTTGCCACTTGAGATTTGGCTTTAATACGCGTACTTGTCAACCTGGTTGCAAGTTTTCATCTCCACTGTCCGAGACCACAGGAAAAGAGAAGACCAGTCACAAGGCGCGGCTGGTTTTTAAACTCTAACGCACTTGCCATCGAGGACCACAAATCTGGAAAACCCTACCTTGTGGATACAGGAGCAGATGTATCACTAGTATCAGTACCCCGTTTCTGCACTGGACAGGAGAAATAGACAGTCTTCGATCCCACTTCGAGCAGCTAATAGTAGTTCCATCCACGCATGGGGTAAGCGTAACATTTCCCTGACGATAGACTCCGAGAGACGTTATAACCTCGAGTTTTACCTTGCTGACGTCACTCCACCCATCTTACGTGCAGACTTTTTTCACTACCCATAACCTTGCTATTGATCTTCGTGGGATACGCTAATTGTCCTTTGACCACACTGTTACAAGTTCCAAAAAAAGTTTATTCAATTTAAAATTGGAGTCGGACATTGTTCCAAATATGATGTATAAATCACCTGTTTTTCTGTTTGTCTTTTTCTCTTTACTGATATTTTTAATCTTTTCCTTTTAATTTAATACAGAAACTCAAATGGCTACGAGTGCGATTACTGTGCGACGGGCGGAGCTGTCCGATTACACAGGGATCATTGAAGGCATCGGAGATCCGTGGTGGAATATCGACTACCTACCAGATCGGTTCACCGAGTATTTGACCGATCCCACCTACATGTCGTATGTGGCCCTGAATGAGGGAGAAGTGGTGAGATTGAAAGTGACACCTACCTCACACCCATCCTAAATATCCCCTTCCCCTGTCTCTGCAGCCACCTGAACATTTTTTTTCCTTACCCCTTTACCCCCCCTCCAAAAAACAACCCAAAAACAAACGAATATACAAACAAACAAGCAAACATACAAACATGCACACAAAATAATTAAAATGTTATCTTTCGAAAAAAAAACCCCGACCTTCAACCATTTCCAACATTAACTTGGGAACTTTTTATATTTCAATTATAATCTAAGAAGGAAACTTTGAAACTGAATGAAACTATGATAATTGAAAGGGTCAGAAAAAATAGGGTCAAAGTCACCTTGACATCGTTTCGATTTGGGGGTGGGGGTGGGGATGGGGTGGGGAGGGAGTTTTGAAAACAAGCTGGACATAATCTTTTAAGGCTATAACTCTGATTTCAAGCCATCCAGCTCTTTCTGATTCACTGAAACGCTATGTTGTGTAGTCTTTCTGGAATTGTGTCGTCTACCAAAGGCTACCTTTTTGGCTAATATATAGAGAAATTGGTCCTGTAACATATTTTTCTGACCCCTTTGATGATAAGTCCCCTGATTGTTAAGGTGTCAATATGCTTTTAAATACTCGAATACCCACCCCCCCCCCTCCAAACAATACCTATTTCAACCTTTTCCTTCTTTCCCCTCCACACCAATTTAGGTCGGTTTTTACGCTGCCCACCTGGTAGACAACGGACTGACCATGGACAAGAGGGCCGCTCGGGTCAAGGTCGGACACCAAGGTCAAGGCATCCTCACACAGCTGTCAAACGTCATTGACCGAGAAGTAGGACAGCTGGGCACAGTGAGGTGGGAGGTTATATCCACCACAGCTCAAACCGCTCACAGACTCCACCGCAATGGCTTCTTACAGGAGAAGGGGTTCCGGGAGATTATGACATTTGTGAGTTCCAGGATGTTCTTTTGTTTGTTTGTTTGCTTGGTTTGATGGTGGAGTGGGTGGTTGGCTGGTGCTCTGGTGTGGTTTGCGTCTTCTTTCCCATCAAACATCTATCGTCCTTTTTTTTCCTCCTTCTTTTTTTGTGTTTGTTACTCTCTTGTAACACCTCTAATCTTGGGCACTTATATGACCTTATTGTGTTGCAAGTGCCGTAAAACTCTTACTTAAACTATACTGAAGGAAAATCTAAACTGTTTGGGTGGTTGGTTGGTTGGTTGGTAGCTTCTTTTTGCGTGGCGTGCAACACATATTTTACTGTTTGACACATTCTGGCGGAATATGTCGACTTTGACCATATACGTGTAAAATACTTCAAAAGTAGAGATATCAAAATTGTTTTTGACCTCGTTTGCCCAATGAAGATTTTTAAAATTTTTATTAAAGAAATTGGATTATTTGTAGGTTCTGTCCCCCCCCCCCCTGTTGTTTCTGTCTGTTTTACTTTTTTTCCCAGCACTAAATGTTAATAATTGTTTCGACATGCTTATCTTTACTCAAACAAACTTAAAAAGAAACAAAGAAACGCAATTTGTTTCCCTCTTACCTGTTTTTCTGTGGGCAGTTGGCGAATTCTCTGATATGGTTTGCTCCTTTCTTTGTTACCAAACATCCGCCATCCTTGTTTCTCTTCCTTCTTCTTTTGTATGTTACTCTCTTTTTGTTTGTTTGTTTTTGTAAGTGTTTTTACGGCGCTCGCAACAACATAAGGCTCTGGCCACACTGCGAGCAGAGCGGGCACAGCAGAGCGCAGCTATTTGAGGCGCTAACATTGGGTGGCCACACTGCAAGCAGAGCGGAGCGGGCGGTGCAATGCAACGTCATGTGGCATTATATTTTCATATCAGTTCAGTTTCAGTTGCCCATAGATAGAAAATGATTGACGTTATTTGTCCTGGTCAATGAGGAGACTCAACAGAAAAAGCAAGAAAGAAATAGGTGCACCCGAACATCTGACTGCAAATTCTTCCACTGATATCTGAATAAAAAGAGTAGAAAAAATGATAAGAGTAATACAAGGGAGAGGTATCTAATTTCTTAAAAAAATTTCTTATTAATTTTCTCTCGTGCTTTATCCTGTTGTGGTGAATGGGACATAGGAACATAATAATAATCGTAGAACCCTCAGCGTGCTTAAAATCAAATCGACGATAATATCGGAGTGTTGCAATATACAGAGAGTTTTAAACACGTAACTAAACACACGTACACACGCATACGCCATACGCACACACTCAAATATATACACTCATACACACATAATGTAATATATTATCTACAAAAGACAACCTGTGTCTGTGGTATAGCGGTAGGCACTTCGTTGTCTCACGTAGAAGACCCGTGTTCGATTCCAGAGTAAGCAAGAATTTTTATCAAGTATTTCGTTTTTTCTGCTTTGACGTTGTATCACTCTCAGCCAGGGTTGTGTGAGTGAGTATGTGTGTGTGTGTGTGTGAGAGAGAGAGAGA